AAAGGACCCAGTCACTTCCTAGGGTGTATTTACATCACTGATTTTTCATGTCCAAACACAATTCTTCTTTCTACCAAATCGCACTTTTTTTCCCCAGGCCGAACCTCCATCATTATTAGATTACTTAAAATATGGACTTTCCTTCCAGTGGGTCTCCCCCATCTTAGTGTCCTCCACAAATGTAATAAGCAAACTGCTTGATCAAAGTACAATTCTACCAAACGAGAATGCTCCACTTCATCCCAGTATGTCACACTGACTTTGGAAAGATTTCAGTTCCTTTGTAAAATGCAGAAAAATGGACATCTGGGCTTTCCAATCCAGTTAGTTCTCTGCAAAAAGTCTCATACAGGACTGGTTTTCAATCAGTTCTGCTGTTCAACTGACGGTTGCATGAAGCCAACACTGAAGGTTCATCCCACGGGTATTGTAGGTCATAGTAGTAATGCTAGCAGGTAACACAGCCTCATACTTTTTGCTTAAGCCTGTTTTCAATTAATGTTTGTCACCCAGACCTCACCAGGCTGCACAAAATTGCGTATTTCTTACTAGTTTTGGTTTTGGCACAAAGGTTTTAAAAAAATATTCAGTCACCTATTTCCAATGAGAAAATTAGGGGGGAAAAAAGAGAATTTACTCACATAAAAAAGAATCCCAGCTATTTAACTGAGAGTCTTTAACCACTCCTTTATTTTTTCAGAATAGAAATGTTGTATGTCCTTCCTCCTTTAAAAAAATCACCTCAAATTTGCCAAGCAGTAAGTACTTGAAAATTGCTGTCTACACAGGCTCAACAGATTCAGAGCTTAGCAACAAAATCCTCCAAACTTTTTGTATGCAGGGAACATACTTTTCCCTCCTTTCCCCCTTGGTAAACCACACACTATGTATCACCTGAGGGGAATCTGCTCTTCCCTATGGCTACATGACCAAGAAGAAATGTCCTTGCTACTCCTGCAAAAAAGCTGTACGATGTCTGATCTCGGAACAGAGACTGGGAGATCTCCCAGGCTGGCCCCTGGGAAAAAATATCTAATTAGATGAGGAAGGGTGAAGGATTTGCTGCAGTCATGGGGGACACATGGACGTGCAAGGACTAGATGGAGAGACCCTGATAAAAGGAAAAATCTCCAGAGAAAAGGGAGTAGAAGGTACCCATGGCGACCACACCTCTGTGAATCAAGGCCACTATTCCCGACTCAGCATCGCTCTGCTTCTAGAAGTAGTTGGGAAACTACTGGGATCTTCCTGCACCAATGGCTCACAGAGGGCTACAACCTGCTACTGCTGCCATTTGCGGCAACACAGCTGCCAACAAACACGGTGACAGACATCAGTGATGTGAATCTCACACTTCCAGTCTTGCCCCAGTATTCACAGGGAAAAGCAGCCACACAACTGGATTTTTTTTCTCCCAGTTCTGCTTTGTAAAGACGATGGAAAACACATTTATTCCATTCCTCTCCCACTAGGGCTGCAAAAGAAAGATGAGCAGCATGACAGCTAAAGCTGCTGCATAGCCTTATTACCACTCCTGATGCTGGACTACTGGTTGAGTATGGCAGGGACCATTTTTGCCATCGGTATTTGCTTAGCAAGTCTACACTCTATGGCCCTAACACTTGCAGAATTTGGAGCGCACACAGCAAATGAGCAGGGGATTCTTGCAAGCCAAAGGGAAGTGCTGGAGAACAATAAAAACCATCTGAAAGTGGCAACTAAGCCTAGAGGAGACAGTTGACCCTCACCGGTATATGCATCAGCTGCTCATCTGCATGACAAGAACAATGTCACTAGCTTCCCCTTACAGCAATGTCAAAAAAAGAAGTATTTTAGGATGCAGTCAGACACCATGTTGAGGAGTGCTACACACAAGTAGATGCAAGCCCACAGTCAAAGAAAAATCTGAAAAGTGGACAAGAAGGGGAGAAACGGATCATATACCTAGCAAGTCACATGAAACAAAGTATTGAATGTCTAGTCATTAAGTGATGACATTGATCCAGTGAAGTGAGGCGGGCAGCAGCCTTCCGAAAGAAAGCGTGCAACCCTGTATGCGGTCACATTAATGGAAGGATATCCGAAAACTTCTGCATTTGAGAATAACAGAGGCAAGACGAGACCTGAGGGAAACAGGAAGGGAACGTGAAGAATGGGAAAAACTAGAAAAAGAAAGGTTGGAAGAAATGCATGAGCCAGCATTGTTGAGAAGAGAGGAAGGAATGTCTGCTCTCAGCACAGGCTGACGAAAGCAGAATCAGCCCAGAGTTTTCATGCCCAAGGAGCCCCACATACGAAGGACATCACAGGACCTCTGGCACCTGCACACCAGGACTTTCAAATTCAGTGTACAGAAGATAAATTTCGTCACTAAAACAGGCAGTTTCTTAACATCCTCTCTGCCTAAATCTGCCTCTGGGTTTTTATACAGGTACTGCCATCTCATTGTCACTGTGGTGCCCAACAGTCTCATCTTTATTTTCAGTGTGCTTAACCATCTGGATGAGTTCAGTTAATGATTTCCATAATAAGAGTGCTACAGGCATAATATGTATTAACCTTAGATTATTAAAGGCAATCAAGTGAATGGGAGAAACTGAGACAAAGACCTGAAACAACTTCCCTGAGACAGGAGAGGACATTAAATGGGAAGATGCAAGTTAGAGATTCCCAACTTGAAAGAGGAGCTCTTTGTTCTGGATCAGGGCCCTAAAGTACGGTCTCAAGCCCCAAGAAATAAATGGGAGTGTTTCCATGGCCTTCAGAAGACTCTGGAGGAGGACAGAGAAGCAA